GTTTCTTCATGTATGTATACTGCTCTCTGTATGTAACTTTGTATGTTATCCCTGGCCCTGTGTCTCTATATCTCTTTCTTTCCCTCTCCTATGGCTAAACATATGCTTAACAATTAAGTATCTTTAGAAAGGAAGTCTTGCCTTTAGGGTGCACTGCACTGAGTCTTGTGTTTAGTGCTATATATACTGAAAAGAGAAGCACTTCATTTATTTCTCAGCTATAGAATTATGTTTTATTAAAATAAGAGAAAAAGAAACAAAATCTGACTATGAATTTCAAATCACGGCCGCAATTAAAGGAAGGCCATGCCAGTGTAGTGAGTCAGGTTCCACGAACTTTTTCAGGTTTTTAATCCTTTCTATAATTTCTATAGTTGCTTGCTGAGTGAACCTCTGCAGAAAAATATCAGCTGAGTTTGCTATATCACCCCACACCTGCACCCTACTTTCATTTTTTAAAAAATATATTTTATTAATTTTTTTCAGTTGCACCCCACTTTCTAACTCAGCAGGACAGTACACAAGATCTAATTTTCTGACTAGAAAAACACGGCATTTCCTTTCCTAGCTCAACCACACGTCTTCTAAGACAAGGGTGGCTAGAACCTCAGCCTCAAAAGCCTAAGTGTACTTTGGGCTGATTTTCCCACCTTCTTTGCTCCTCTTTCCTGCCCGTAAAACACCACCATCACCACACCAGTTAATTTAAAAGTCTGAAGAAGGAACATTTATGCTGCAGTTATTTTTCCTTTTTTGCATGCATCAATGATTTCAAATTCCCACGTAGAAAAGACATGTCTTTAAAGAAGTTATTTGAAAAATCCACAGAGGTATTTTGACCTTTTTTAATGAAGACATAAAAATTGTCTTCATTTTTCTTTATGAGAATAAGTGACTTCTGTGCCCATTGTTGTTTATCTCTTCCACATAGTTTTTTCTATATATTTTTTTCTTTTTTAAAAAAAAGCCATTTCAGATGCCCAGGCTTTCTTTATCTTATCACTATGCTTCCTTCAAAGGTCTGTGGGAGTCCTATGTAATATCAAATAAAGCTTGCAATACTCCTTGACACAAACTTTGGCATGGTTTCAATGTCACTCGTTGCTGGGGGTGGGCAGGAGCAAGTGGTGTAGTAATGTTGGAGAAAGAAATGTATTTCTATGCACAGGCAAGATATCCCCATGAATCTCTTACTTTTGGGAGTGGGCTTCACACAAACATGGAGCTGTCCTTATTTCTCTGTCTGTCAGTAGATACAAGATGCTAGTCCCAAAATGCTTTTTTTTTCAGGAGGCAACTGGACATTCTTATTTTTCCTTTTGAAGACATTTTGCTTCTCATCCAAGAAGCTTCTTTAGCTCTGACAGGATAGTGGGAGATGGAAGAGCCTGTCAGAGCTGAAGAAACTTCTTCAATGAGAAGCGATACATCTCCAAAAGGAAAAACAAGGAAGCTCCTGGATAAAAAGCTCCTTTGGGACAACCATGACCTGGATGACTGAGAATCTCTATAGACTCATACAAGATGCTGCTTATCTGTCAGCAGAGTACAAATATGGTCTATTTATACAAGCAGGTGTTAATATGAGGAGAATTTGCATACAAGTTTCTCAGTTGCAACTTCTGTGCAAAGGATTAGGACTTTTAAAGAAGAGATTGGACAACAATTGTCTGAAATGGGACAGTGTTTCCCCCTTGGAATAGTAGACATCTAAGGTCCCTTCCAATTATCACTAATGGCCTCTCTCCCATTACAACCATATTTATTTTATTTACTTTTCAAGACTTAATAGCCACTTAATCAAAACTTCTAACTTCCAACTGGACGGCATTTTCTCGGAGGTATAGTATTGAATGAGCAACATGCTAGAAATGGCCTTGTTGAAAATCTATATTGAACAATGCCAACAATAGTGATGACCAATCCCTTTTCTGTTTTTATTTTTCATTCTTCACCATATGCACTGCTAAGGAGGTTTCAGAAGACTCTGGCCAAAAAAATTAATTTTTAATTAGCAACACAAAATTAAGCTTAAACCATTGCTTACAGGAATGGCTATGAACAATAGTGGTATGGAAAACGTAGGACTGATGTGAAAACCTAGACTTCAAAAGTCTAGGAAAAGGAGCAAAAATATATTATCTTTGCAAAGATGACATATTTTTGCTAGTTTTCCTAGATTCTTGAAGTTTGGTTGGTCAGGATACAAAGGGCTAGAGGGGAAGGGAATTTGAATTTTGGGACTTCCAGAATCAGTTTTGATTAAGTGGCTATTAAGACTTGAAAAGTAAATAAAATAAATATGGTTATAATGGGGGAGAAACCATTAGTGGTAATTGGAAAAATACATATTTGAAAATGATCACCCTTAGTATACACAACATGCTAAGCAAGAGAAAAATGAACTTCAGTAGTTTGTGCTTTGACATATTGTAAGAATCCAGGTATTGCCATTTAATTGCCATTTATATAACCAAGACACCAGGGGTGAAATGCAGCAGGTTCTGACAGGTTCCGGAGGACCGGTAGCTGAAATTTTGAGCAGTTCGGAGAACCGGCAAACACCACCTCTGGTGGCTGGCCCCAGAGTGGGGTGGGAATGGAGATTTTGCAGTATCCTTCCCCTCCCACCAAGCCACACCACATCCACCAAGCTACGCCCACAGAACCAGTAGTAAAAAAAAATGGATTTCACCACTGCAAGACACATTGTAAGCCATGATATATTTCATATGTTATACAAACACAAAGAGAACTGTTAGAGTGACTTAGACACCTTTAAGTGGTGTTTGAACACCTTTGAGTGGTGTTTAAGTGATTATAATGGGGTAGGGAGAAATTTCCAGTAGCAGTAGCCAGGAATTTTTCTTCTCTGGAAGAAGCATAAAAAATGCCAGATGCATGATAAGTTCAAACCTGACTGTCTTCTTCTTTTTATTTGAATAGGCTACTTCTCTTCAGTGTGAAGTGTGCAAAATAGAATATATTAAACACATAAAATTGGTCCTTCTCCCTCCCTACCCCCCCGCTTTTTTTTTTTTTTGGCTTAAACTGAAGTCTCTGCAGTGCAGGGAAATAAAGAGGAAGTTCGTGACCTTTTCCTTTTTATCTCCCTTGTTGCTTATCACTTTTCTTTTTTTGAAGCATAGACAGTTACTGTTCTGCTAATTCTACAAGAGATAAAGACAACGTTCCGAGCTAAATTCTGTTGGTGAAAAAAAATGAGTCGATTTGCCCTCTGACTCCTTCCAAACTTGTAACTTTTCTACCTGGAGAGGCCTTTTTTTCTCTGTTAGGATACCCATTTCAATATAAAGCTGCAGTTAATGGCAATTTTGCAAGAACAAATTAGATTGTAACCCAGGAGTCAAGATTTGACCATCTCCTGCTTTTGCCACCCATGTAGTACCTGCCTTCCTTCAACAAATCTTTGTCCTGTGTCTGTTACTCCACAGTATCTGTGGATATCTGTGAAGATACTCCACAGTATCTTCTTAATCCTCACTCCCATCCCCAATTCCCCGCAAACATTGTTCTATGTGCCTTAAAAGCCCAGCAGACCCATTCGGGTTATGGAAGACATTGCTGTATTGATGTCTTCATGATGATGCTATTAAAGAGCCTTGATAGTACAGTGGTCTAAAGCACCCTGTTATTAAGACCAGCTGCCTGCAATTACTGCAGGTTCGAATCTCGCCAGGCTCAAGGTTGACTCAGCCTTCCACTGTTTCTAAGGTAGGTGAAATGAGGACCCAGTTTGTGGGGGCAATAAGCTGACTTTGTATAAATGTACAAAAGGGTGAAGGCTATTGCTTAGCGCATTGTAAGCTGCCCTGAGTCTCCGGAGAAGGGCGGCATATAAATCAAATTAAAAAAAAAAAAAAGGTAGTCCTCAATTTACAACAGTTCATTGTACAAAGTTACAACGGCACTGAAAAAGTGACTTAGGATCATTTTTCACATTTATGACCCCATGATCATATGATCAAACGTCAGTTGCTTGGCAACTGACTCATACTTATGACTGTTGCTGTTTCCCAAGGTCATGGGATCCCCTTTTGTAATATTTTGACAAGCACAATCAATAGGGAAGCCAGATTCACTTAACAGCCATGTTACTAACTTATCAGTTGTGGTGATTCACTTAGCAACTGTGGCAAGAAAGGTTGTAAAATGGGGCAAATGTCACTTAACAAATGTCTCACTTAACAACAGAAATTTTGGACTCAATAGTGGTCGTAAGTCGAGGACTACCTGTACAAACAATAGAGTTCTGGTACTTTATTTATTTAATTTATATAAATATATATGGGTTTATAGGGTTTATAAATACTCCCCACCAGTATTTATAGAGAGACGGCAGCTCCGACCACGCTTTGCTTGCACAGGCATGAAGCCGAAGGCACCAGCCTGAAGAGGACGAGTGGGACCTTGTCGAAACGTCATCAAGATACGCTCAATCTTGATGACGGTCTCTCTTGATTTTATGATTGTATGGTTGGTTTTAAATTTTGATATGGATTTTAAATTGATAAATTTTAAACTATGGGCCAAATTTAATTATTTTAAATCTATTTTTAATCGTACTTTATGTATAAATGTTTTTATTTTGGCTGTTCACCGCCCTGAGTCTGAAAGGAGAAGGGCGGTATAGAAATTCGAATAATAAATAAATAAATAAATAAATCTTACATGGGAAAAGACTCGAATACGCCAAGACTTGCATATATATGCAAGCCTCCTTAGTCTCCCAATGGGCAGCAGATTGCTTGCTGGCTGCCTGAAGAAAAAAAGTCTAGAAACTAGTGGATTGTGATTTCACTGAACTAGGGCTGCATAAAAATCTTGGTTTACATAGGAAGAACCTGGCTAAAGAGAAATACATACATACATACATACATACATACATAGTGTTTTTCTATCGAGACACCTGGTCTAAATATATATGTCACATTCTATTTACCAAATTATGAATTTTAGTAGTATAACTTCTACTTTACCTTCTCTCTCTCTTCCATTAGTTGAATTATATTCTTTCTCATCTTCACTGGTCTGTATGTTTTCTGTTTCATGGTATGTGTTAGGACCTTCATCATTCAAAATATCCCGTAAACCTGATACAGTTTTAATGAAAAGAAGACAAAGACAAATGATGAGGAAGATGATGAATCACCGTAGCAGGAATTTTAATGAGGTTTAAGACATTTAGGCTATTCTTTAGGTAATAGGTACTTTAAGTATTGGATAATACAGCATAGACTTAGTAGTAAGCAGTAAGGTAGGAAGATAAATAAGTTTGTTAAGTTTTATATATAATAAAATGTAATATATAATAATATAATAAAAGCTTCCCACAGGGAAAGTTGTTGCTGGTCTGTACCATTGTCCAAAAGGGCACTGTCACAAGAAGGTAAGAAGCTTTTTTAAGGAAGGAAATGAATAGAGTTTAATGGCCCAAACCTCCGTGTTCTGTTTGTTCTTGACAACGGCTGAGGTCCAGGCCAGCTTGGGAATCTAGAATAGGCAAACACAAACAAAGTCTTTGTAAACCTTGATTGTACAGTGGTCTAAGCACCCTGTTATTAACACAGCTGCCTGCAATTTACAGCTGTCTGAAATTTACTGCTGGTTCGAATCTCTCCAAGGCTCAAGGTTGACTCAGCCTTCCATCCTTTCTAAGGTAGGTGAAATGAGGACCCAGTTTGTGGGGGCAATAAGCTGACTTTGTATAAATATACAAAAGTATGAAGGCTATTGCTTAACGCATTGTAAGCTGCCCTGAGTCTCCGGAGAAGGGTAGCATATAAATCAAATTAAAAAAACAAAACAAAACTCTGTACTGTATCACTTCAGTAATGCAAGCGGATATGGATTACATGGGCTCAGAACTGTGTTCTTATTTTGAAAACGTTAGAGCCCTTTTCCAAAGTGACAGCTCTGAAAGAAATCTATACAAGTCTTGTAATACCTGCAGTGGAATTCATGTAATAACTAAATATATTCCCAGACTTCCAAGTGCAAATACATTATCAGAAGAGAACACAGAAAATTCACTACTAAAGCAATGCATGTAATTCCTGGGTAGATTCTGATGCAAAATTTACAAGCTGAGCCTAATGCACCCTGTTATTAAGACTAGCTGCCTGCAATTACTGCAGGTTCGAATCTCGCCAGGCTCAAGGTTGACTCAGCCTTCCATCCTTTCTATGGTAGGTAAATTGAGGACCCAGTTTATGGGGGCAATAAGCTGACTTTGTATAAATATACAAAAGGATGAAGGCGATTGCTTAGCACATTGTAAGCTGCCCTGAGTTTCCGGAGAAGGACGGCATATAAATTAAAAAGCAAAAAGCAAAGCAAAAAATTCCATTTGCATTTTTATTGCATGGTCATGGCTACATTCTGACTTCTTTGACATCATCTGTGAATGTCCCTGAAATTTACTTAGGACAGAGTTGGACAATCTGTACCCCATGCCACATATGTACCTCAGTACAAGATCATATTGAAGTTTCGGGTCAAATTACTCAATTGCCACTTTTTCCTTTTTGGGGAAAAAATTAGGAATGGAAATGAAAGACCTCTGAGAGGTGCACCATTTCCATCCCAACCCCGAATCCAACCCAGGCATGAAAGAAAAGGCTTCTACTCCATCCAGTGCTCCTCAACTGCTCATCCATTTCCCATCTGTAACATAGGCCAGTAACATGGCCTGGTGATTTTCACAGGCTCTTTTCCTTGCATTGACTGGTCTGTTCATCGCAAAACTGATCAACTGCCTTTGAGGAAGATTAATCAAATTTTCTTCTTTTAAAGGTGATATTACAGTCTCCCTTTTTAAGTTAATTTCTTCCTTTCACTCCACTTTTTATCACCTTATCAAAGAATCTGAAAAATCTTAAAATCTTCCTCCTGGCTGTTACATAACTGCGAAATTTAGTTCATTTGAAGCAGCAGGAAAGTGTTAACCGCTTCCCTTGCATTACCACTAAGGTTTATGGAACATACATGGGGCCTCTGCAACCTCTGAGTATACAAACTTCGATAACTGAAGACCTTTCCAAACCATTATCAAAACACTGCTTTTATTTCCCTAAGAAAACCAAGTACTTTTGGGTGGGGGGGGGGGGAGATACAGAATTAGGAATACATTATTAACATGGAATAGATTGAGCGAAGGGAATTTAGCCCAATTTCTTGCCCCACGTTCTTCACTATTTGTGAGAAAAATGGACTGTAGCTTAAACTGTAACGTTTTAATTGTTCCTGTTTCAAGATTATTTTTAAAATCTATATTCATCAGATATCACTGAAAAAATAGGTACCTAATAAATCTGTACAATATTCATCAGATATTACTTTAAAAAATAGGTACCTAATACTGTGGAATTCTAGAAAAAAAATCACTACGATAGTACTTTTGTTCATCTCCATATCACTTCAAATATACTTATGTATACCAGGATATGCAATACTTGCCAAATAACAATAACAGAAATGCATTTGAAAAAAATTTTTTACATAATGTTTGAAACTGGAAGGTCAAGTAAAGCCAACCAGGTCTTGAGCTATAAGTCAGAAGCCAATGGCCACTCATCGCTACCTTCCTCAACAGTTGTTTCTCACATGTAAACTATGGATAGATGCCATTAGCCTTACTTGAGTGAGAAACCCAAAGAACGTACTTGCTGAAGCACTATTGAAAGCAACGTGCAGGTCAGCAGCATAACACAAAAGAAGGGGACTATCTCTAAACATGTAGTAGTTTCTTTTTTCTCTTAATTATGCATTGAGACGCTCTCATCCCATGTGAGAAAATAAGGAGTTTCAAAACAACGCTTTCAAGGAGAGCTTGAATCTTTTGTTTTTGAAGTTAAGCAAAGTCACATCTTATTTATTTTTCTCCTTTTCTTTAATACTTGCAGAATTTAGCTAATGATAATCAAGTTTAGCAACATGGTGTTCCATTGTCGCCAAAACAATACATAATTTTCATTTTTTCATATTTTAAAAAAACATTTATATACTTTCTCACAGTTCTGATGTCTGAGAGGATTGCCTCCCTAAATTGTACATTCCTGCAGAATAAATAAACAACAGGTACACACCCTACTCCAACAATCTACCCCGCAAGGACTTCTGAAGCAAGGAGTTCTTGCAAATTGACCATAACAGCTTTCTTTTTTTACAAGTAAAGGGGAAAAAAGCTAATAATGTTTGATATCAAAAATGAAAGTGACTTGTTATAGAACAGCTGCAGCTTAAGCACATGTAACAAACTCAGTTATCTGAGAATTGAGATTGTATTGAAAGAGGACGTATTGGGAGAGGGTTGTCATAGAAGGGAAAGATAAAACTGAATTTTAGGTCAATGGTTTTTGGATGTATGTACCCAATGATCAGTATGCATAGCTGCTCCATCCACTCACTTCTGAGGTTTAAATTATAGAGAGTTGGAGAGAGAACTAAAATGAAGGCTGAAAACTGTCAGTGTTAGCAACTTTCACTCATAGAGTTTTTAAATAGGGCCTGGTGACCTCAAACTTTCTCTGGGACAAAAAGAAAAGGGTGGGGGGAGAGAAACAGACATAAACTTCAGGGAGAGATCTTACTAAGATTTATTCCCAAGAAGAACAAATAAATGGAGGACTTGCCCAAGAAATAAGCAGACTAAAGACAACATTTAAGGTTTTTACTAATGCCTGCTAATTCATTTGATATGAAGAAAAACACTTAGTCCTAAAGCCTCACATTTGTAGGTTGTCCAAGATAACATTTTAAAGATCCATAGTTCATGTCTAGATGTCCATAGAAGGCAGGTATAGAAAGCATGCATTCACCAATGCAAACATATTTCCAATGTCAATTTAAGTCCCTTGTTTTCACCTTTAAGACCTGGAACAGACCTTATTAAACTATAAATTAGTTTTATATATGAAATAGCCAAATCTTTCTGTGATAATCATCTGGATATCCTTGGGCTGCAAATGCAGTCAGAAAAAGGCTGATGAAATATTTCATCATTGTTGAAGATTTAGGAAATGCAGTCTCTGAAGAATAATTAAAAGACCAGTATAGTATTTAAAATGAGGAAGGGGCAAATCATACACCTAAACCTCCCCCAATTTGCAGAGGCCAAGAAAACCTCTATGACAAGAACAGATCTATGGATAGTAACTCTTCATTCATAGGGAGAAGAAAGCTTTTCTTCTCCTTTTGGTTTGGAGAACCAAAAGGAATCAGACCTAGAATCTGGAAAACCCCCACTAAGGATATCATTAAGTATACCTCCTTCTTATGCTACCATTCCCAACTTTTTCTATTTAAAAAAATTAATAACCTTTTTTTATTAAGAATGGGGTTTTGGTTTTTGTTATTCACATTTGTATAGTAGAATATTTTAACTTCGCATTGCCCCAGGATTTTAATTGCTCTTTTTTCAGGAAAATAAAAATGGATCTAATCTTAGGGCATAATATATATTTGTATACCTTTGCCCGTAAAAAAGAAATAGGGAAGAGTTTGATAGAAAGATTTAAAAATTTGAGCGCCCTCCCTTTCCAAGGATCTCAGAAATCTTTTTTCTCCCAAACTTTTTCTCTTTTTTTCTCTTTCTTCTTTTGAAGCAAAGATAGCTTAGTCTTTGCATTAATATTTTGCATTATATTTGCCTATTTTCTTGCTCTGCAATAATCATCTTTGGCTTTTGGCTAGTCTAAAATATCACAGTTTGGGATAGGGCAATGAAGCAACATTAAAAATATTAGGCCACATTTTTGAGAAAATCTAAATCTTCAATTTCAAAGAAAAAATATAAACCATGTTGGACTAAATAAAATAGAAAGAATGCAACTGGAAAATAAATGATTTTGTTTCTGACATTAGGAAGAAAATCAAAGACACCTGCCTCATTTGTATTATGTTGATCCGAAAAGTATATTTTAAACTGAATGCAATCTGAAAAAAGCAGTGTAGTGGTATTTTACATTTATACACAGGCATATAAATAGCATACATATTAAATCCTACTGCTCGGTTCGCAGGTTTGCATATTCCTCTCTCAAACGGAACACATAGACATAAAAAGTATATTTGTTTTGATGTGTTAGTACCAACTCACTAGATGCAGAGACTTTTTAAAGGTGTAGCACACTTTAAAAACTGTTTTGGCACCATGCAAACATTGTTGCTAGAACCAAATCATGTTGACTGAGAGGAATTCCCCACTGATTTCAAAGAAGCTTTCTTTTAAATAAGCACATGAAATTTCACTTTTGTGACACATAAATTTTTTAGAGCACAAATTCACTTGATAGATGGGATCTCTTAATATCATTTATGGAATTATAGTGAAGAGTTCAACCTGCTATGCTGGATATAGAAATTCACAATTTACCTGTTTGGTTTTTTTTGTCTTGGAATCCAAAACTCTTAACGCTGGCAGATAACATTTATGACAGGTAACTGATTCTGATTATCTTGATTGCAGCAACATTTTAAACTTTCAGATTAAAATGTTTAAAATATGCAATATTTTTACAATTTTATATCTGAATTTATATCCTAATATAACAAATAATGAGGAAAATGGGAATTGTATAGTAATTGTGCGAGCAGCCAGATCCTATTCAATATATACTTACTTGTGGAAGGATTATGATATTTAATTTAATAAACTAATATTGAGGTAATAGTTTAACTAAATTCCTTCTAAAGGTTCTAACCTATGACAAATATTTTCTGTTAAAATAATTCCTAATTTACTAGTCAGCAAAAAGCATGTACTGCAAATATATAATTCATGTTTTGAGACACTATGAGAACCAGAAAAAAAAAAAAGATAAACTTTCTCTTGTAGTTTTTAAAGGGACATTTTAGGATGTTCATTGCAGGTTTAGAAATACAGCCGTTTTGGTTGTGGTGGGTCTTTTGGTAATATCTTTGTAAATCTTATCATTCTTCTAGAAATATATTGGTTGGTTCAATATTACAGTATTTAAGAAAAATAAAAACTGTTAGAAAATCCTAATAACAGAGGCATATGAGCAAAGAGGATTAGAAAGCAAAATTATGTAAATTGGGAAAAGTAAGTAACAAATTGGAAAAGAAATTTATTATTCTGACAGAATATTTGCACTATTATTTCTCCAAGATCGTAAAGTTAAAATCTAGGGAGGGTGCTTAAGTGGGTGATGAAAAGGAAATAAATTTTAAAGCAAAAATACTTTTTAGAAGTGGGTAATTCAGATTACTATGTTTGCTGAAAAATAAAAGAGACTTGAGTTTTGCTAAAATAAAATCAGCAGAATTCCAGTAAATCTCTCACCTTCCATTTTGTTTCACAGCAGCACCTAGTCAGAAAGCTTCGCTCCAGGGTTCAGGGATTCCACTGAACTTCAGAAAGGAAGGAAGATTCCCAAATAGGCAGGTTTCAGATTCAAAAAAAAAAAAAAAAAGAGCTGGGTTGCATTGCAATAATGAGATGACAAGGACAGGAAATGGTTAGAAGTTGTGTAGAAACAGGGCGCCCTCAAGCTGTGAGGAAGGTGGTCCAGTGAATGTAAATCATATTCCCTAACCATGATAACTGTAGAGTTGTTATTATTATTCATTCCAGGCTACAATTGCTTTCCAAACTACTGTTAAAGGAAACATAATTCCACTAACCCTAAAAGTACTTTTTCATGACGCTTTTAAAAAAAGGATCTTGAATCTGATAGGGCTTAATTCAGTCAGAAAATAGTACCTCCTAATCAGAAAGCCCTCTATTTTGTCGGACAGAATAAAAATAAGTTTGTTTCTTCCTTCCTTCCTTCCTTCCTCCCTCCCTCCCTCCCTCCCTCCCTCCCTCCCTCCCTTCCTTCCTCTTTCTTTCTTTCTTTCTTTCTTTCTTTCTTTCTTTCTTTCTTTCTTTCTTTCTTTCTTCTCTATTAGGATTTGGTAAAAAAAAAAGTTCCTCAGATTGTTATTCATTTTATATTTGCCACAAGTTTTTGTTATTTTAAATCTAAAATAACAATTGGAAAGCTCGGCCTGTTTTTTCAGAAGTAAATTCCATTGATAGTTACAGCGCATACAGTTCTGCCATCCAATATTCATCACCACTCTCTGTTCCCAATAATCTCTGGTTGTGGCAACAGCCCCACTTTGCAAAAGTAGAGAATCAGTCCTAAGGGGGCACACACCGTTACCATGAAGCCTTGGCTGAACCTGTTGAGTCCAGCAGTCAACTGAGCGGTTTAGAAGCGATATGTTCTTCTCTTGAAAACTGAGCATTATATGGGACATTTGGCAGTACACAGCCAGGCATCAGGCCACCAGAGCTGAAGTTAATATGTCCACAAAGAATCCTAACATTCTCTGGAACCTAGTTGAAAACCAGTAAAGGAGAAAGGTAGTCATGGTTACAATTGGTTGACAGTTGGAATGTCATGTGGGTGAGGAAGAGAATTTTTTGCTCTTTTTTCTTCCGTATGGACAGAAGGCTGTCTAGGCCCGGGTAGGAGGAAGGATGGGCTCTCTCTTGCACTATGCAAGGTGGCAACCCTTGGTTAACTCTTTTTCGCTGCATTGTCCTTCACTTACTCTTCCCTGCAAGGTTTGTGCAGAATGGTTTCATGGCCCCAGAGCAAGGTATATGGCATCTTATAAATTGTGTGTATAAGGCAAAGGTGGAGAACTTCTAAGGAGTTGAGTAACACTCTACTTCTTGATTCTCTGCAAAAGGCCTCCATATTCCTCTAAAAATGCTGAGAGCACCAGAAGGAACATGGCTGATTTGGGAGTGGTGGGATCCATTTTCCCCAACAAAAGAGGGCAAATCATGATAGTTCCCACTTTAAACACTTGAAAGAGCCTTGGTAGTACAGTGGACTAAAGCACTGTTATTAACATCTGCTGCTTGCAATTACTGCAAGTTTAAATCTCACCAGGCTCAAGGTTGACTCAGCCTTCCATCCTTTCAAAGGTAGGTAAAATGAGGACCCAAATTGTGGGGGCAATAAGCTGACTTTGTATAAATATACAAAAATATGAAGGCTATTGCTTAATGCATTGTAAGCCGCCCTGAGTCTCCGGAGAAGGGCGGCATATAAATTAAAGCAAAAAAAAAAAAAAAAAACCACTTCCCAAAAGCAACAGAATAATTTACACAATGAAAAAATAATGCAAAATGCTGTGGATTTAGTAGTATATATATACATTCTAATATTGTATTTAATTTGGAAAATGAGAGTTGTTGAATTATAACATGATCTAAAAGCTGCAGGCCTTTAATGCAAAAGCTATGTTCTTTAAGCACTAGATAGATAGATAGATAGATAGATAGATAGATAGATAGATAGATAGATGATATACTGTATAGATAGGAGGGAGGGAGGAAGAGTGTTTCTGTATATAACATATATCCACGTACTATGTTACTTATCCCGTATTTTTGCTCAGAAAACATACTATTTGTTTATTGCTCCCTGTCTCCCTCCCTCATTTCCTTCCTCTCTCCTCTCTATTTTTTATTATTCCTTTCAATGTTCTTATGATTGAATCAAAATAACTTGTTTCCAACCTAGTAAATTTCAAGTTAAGAGAAAGCATATCCTTAAAGTTTCTTAGAGCAGAATCCTTGATTTTCAATGTACTGGTTTTATTTTTCTGCCAATTCTCTGGACTGTTTTATAGTTTTATTTGTACCACAATTTTGTATTTAAATTTACAGCCCATGATTAGGATTACACTTTCTTGCAATAATAATTTGTTTTATTTTTATCTTTTATCTTAATTTCTTTTGGGTTTATAGGATACATTGCACATGACAGGAATCCTTTATGGTGCCTCTGTTTGTTTAATTATTCTCTAATAATTTATCCTGATTAAGTTTTTCTGCTTAGAGTCAATATATGGAATTAAAAGAACAATCTGAGAAAGCAATGCAAAAGATTAAAGACTAGATCTTTATTTCCCTGAACTACATTCAATTACCCTTGGAGTAATCTTGGGGGTATAGGTATTTTTTTTTCTTTAAAAACATGGTTCTCCTTGGAGATTTATCAGTAGTTTCTCAGTTAAAAGGTTCCTAAATACTTCTTTGCTCATAGATAGAGTTTGCTCATCAGTGTGAAGTCTTTGTCCCATCCTGCAATTACATGGTGTGGGTATTTTCTTCCTCAGCTTGAATAAAGCAATGGCAAGACACAAATGACCTGTGCAATGCCCTTGATCCATTTTTTTAGAATCCTAGAATTACCTGAAACATCCAGCAATTTTGTGGGAAAGGAATTCTTAATACAAATGTTCAACCATTTGTATTTATTTATTATTTATTTATTCAATTTTTTTTATCCCACCTAACTCAAGTCAGCAAATATATGTAATGTGGCTCCTGTTTTCTCCACAACAACAATACTTTGCATTGGGTTGGGTTGGGCTGAGAGACAGTGATTGGACTAAAGTTATCCAGTAGGCTTTCATGCTTAAAGTGGGAATAGAACTCAGCACCTTAACCACTACACCAAACTTTCCGCCGTGACCTCAAAACATGGTTATTTGGCCTGGCCGGATTGGACTGAAGGGTTTTTTTAAAAGGGGATTTTATTGGTTTTTATATTTGAATACTAAATTTTATGTGTTTTTCTATTGTTGTGAGCCGCCCTGAGTCCTTTGGGAGAGAGAGCGGCATACAAGTTTAATAAAATAAATAAATAAATAATAAACTACCTCAAGCATTTATTGGTTTTGAGGCTTCTATACTAAAGTTCAACACATTAATGTGCACATTAGTTCCCCAGAACAGATTCATAAATACCAGACCTCATTCCCAAAATAAGCTACCTACAACCGAAAGCATCAAAGAAGATTTTCTCTTTTTTTTTTTTTACAGCTGGGTAATCTAAGAGCTAGATTTAAAATTTAATACTTTAGAAACAATGCCAGCTGGCGGGCCCGCGGGGGAGGGCCTTCTCTGTGGCTGCCCCAGCTCTCTGGAACCAGTTACCTCCTGAGGTCCGGACCACCCCCACCCTATTGGCCTTCTGAAAAGCGGTGAAGACCTGGCTTTTCTGGCAGGCCTGGGGCCGTTGATCTCGCTGTTGCGATCTTGTGAGATCTGGCCATGAATGGTGTGAATGGGTTTTAATGTTTTAATTTTTAAATGTTTTTATAATGTTTTTTTTTAAATGCATTGTAAGCCGCCCTGAGTCTCCGGAGAAAGGCAGCATATAAATTGAACTAATAATAATAATAATAACAATAATTTTTCAACTAAGGTGTGTGGGTGGTGGGGGGGTGGGAGAACCCTGAAGATTTATCTATGCTGACTATGGGTTAGTAATCAAGCACATATGAAAAATACCAGGTTTGGAAAAGTGTATGATTATAGGATGCAGCAGAAATAACTATTAAAAGTGCACATACGTGGATTTTTTTGGCTCCATATACAGTCAGTTGCTGCCTCTGAAGAAAATGCTATTTATTATCCAAAAACCTAGTTTGTAAAATATTAATATGGAGCAATAAAAGATTTCAAGTAGTAATACTAGTGCTTTAATAATTAATTTTTTTAATAGTAAGCAAAATCTTTCCTGATAACTCCAGGATAATGGCTGGCAGATAATATATGAAAAGCCTGGAAGCATATGATTTGATTAAACTAGGTTTGTCCAAAAGTAACAGATAGGAGGTCAAAAGCCATGGTACAGTGGTAGCTTGACTCACAAGGCAAAGTCTATGGCTCCTCAACTGATGGAGGATTAAAGTAACTACTCAGGAATGAATTGAAAAATATTTATGAAAATCATTTAATCCAGTAGTTCTGAACCTTTTTTTGCACCAAGGACCCCTTTAAATATTGTTTGTGGCCACAGACCATGGCCAGGGAACTTCAAGACTTAATTTAAGATTTAAATCATAACATTTCTTCAAGCATTCATGGAACCCCAATGACGACATTGTGGTCGCTGAGAACTACTCCTTTAATCCTTAGCACTGCCCACGATGGAACAGCCACAGCAATTTTGTTCCTTTTGTCCTTCATAGTTATCTCGGCTTGTGTCTCATTAATAATCTCTTCTATTGCTGAACAATATAAATCTTTTATCATTACATATCTACCTTCACAATGATTGTTGGATGATGCTAGATGACATTATAAATCATGAGGGAGGAAATGGCCACTGAAGTCTTTGCTCTTTATTTATTCTGAGTCACTTCCTTTCTTTCCCATGTGGGATTCACTAGTGTTTTTCTTATTTCTTACCAGGTAAGAAGGAGGGAGGGAGGGAGGGAGGGACGGAGGGAGGGAAGGAAGGAAGGAAGGAAGGAAGGAAGGAAGGAAGGAAGGAAGGAAGGAAGGAAATAGTTTTATTTGATTAGTAATCTCAAGAGCTATAAATTATAAAATAAATGTTTGTTTATGTTTTATTAAATTTGTATACCGCCCTTCTCCCGAAGGACTAAGGGCGATGAACAGCCAAAAATTAAAATACATACATAGAAAAATTAAAATAAATTAAAAACAGAATTAAATCAGTTTGGCTTCCCTAAATTTTTTAAAACCCTTTACCCATAAAATAGCCCATTAAAATTTTAAGCCAGCCCGGCTTGCTGGAATAAGAAGGTCTTCAATGCTCGGCGGAAAGTATGGAGGTCTGGGATCAGTCTTATTCCTGGGGGTAGCTCGTTCCAGAGGGCGGGTGCCCCCACAGAGAAGGTTCTCCCCCTGGGGGTCGTCAGTCAACATTGCTTGACCGACGGCACCCTGAGGAGACCCTCTCTGTGGGAGCGGATTGGCCGGTGGGAAGTTATCGGTGGCAGAAGGTGGTCTCATAAGTATCCAGGCCCTAAGTCATGGAGTGTTTTAAAGATGAGAACCAATACCTTGAAGCGCACCCGGAAGACCACCAGGAGCCAGTGTAGCTCGCACTGGAGAGCTGTTACATGGGAGCATCAAGTCGCCCCCATAATTACCCGCGTGGCTGCATTCTGGACCAGCTGGAGCCTCCAGGTGCTCCTCAAGGGGAGCCCCATGTAGAGAGCGTTGCAGTAAAATAAATGGATTTGTATGGATGTGACTTTGTGAAATCTGCAGTATAACACGTGTATAGCAGTATTTTTTGCACTATAAGATGCTCTGGATCATAAGATGCACCTAGCATTTGGGGAGGAAAACAAGAAAAAAAATCTGCCTCTGCCATCCAGCATCCATTGCTATTCATCTGGCTAGCATCCTTGTAGCAAACAGCAAAAAGCCTGGTCAGTTTCAGCACATTATTGCAGCCTGATTTAGCACGAACTGCTGATTGGCAGTTGAATCAGCCTCCCAGAATACCACTGATCAACTTTTCCAGGGATCGGCGCCGCCTATCACCACCTCTGCGTTTCCTAT